AAAGCCAGCCTGTGCCAACAAACATTTACGCACTGCAGTGCCATGGACCATACAGGGTCACACTGGGCCCCAACAGGCTTAGCTGTCCACTTTATGCTGTGCTTTGGTAAGAGAGACCTGCTGCTTGCTGTGTTGGGAGTGGAAATGAAGCTAATAAAGATAAGGGCAACAAACATGATGGTACTTCGTGCTTCATGGTGAGAGATCAGTTCTATGCTCCGGTAACTGGAGGATACATATACCTTGGCCCATTCACAGGATACTAGAGTCAGCTCACGTTCATAGCAGATTCTTTGAGACAACTTAAACGGGGCTGATAGAAAAGCAAGCTTCACCCATCACATCTGGCACCATTGCTCCATGTCATACACATCAAAATTTCTCTTTCTGTTAGTGCAAGTACTTGACTTACTTGTGAGAATCAATTCTCTAGATTTCCTACGGTGTTCTGCTTTCATGGCTACATCTTCTGGTTGAGCTGATTTGCCAGAAAGACATTAATCTGGTGGAGTGACCTATAGGCCATGTCCTTCTGTATCTGCAAAGAAGAGGATAGACCGTCATGCCTGTCCGGGAGCCACATCAGTTACACCTCACAGAATGGGCAGTTGTCACCATACCACAGCCACTCCCAGCAGTGGCATCCCAGCAATGATGCCCAATCATCAGTGATGCTGTGCATGGTTGTCGCTAGAATAATCTCTGAACAATCTTCAGCATCAGCACTATTCTCTAGATGGTGGTTGAACTCGGGTATATCGATAACAATTAACACTTGTTGGCCTTGGCACAGCCTCTGATAGAAGCGAGTCTCCAAAAAAGATTATGAAACACAATAAAGGACCAAGTATCAGGGACATCTGCTATGGCAGCCTGCCTACCCTGCCTTCTCTTCATAAACAAACTGGAGTAACACTCAGGGTACAGTACCTCTCTTTGCCTGTTTCACAGTCACTCTTTTGATATTAAAGACCAAGTTTTCCACCTAGCTGGTTAAAAAGATTTAACTCCTGTAACACTTGCACAAAAAAAAATTATTTGCACACAGCTGGATCTAGTCTAAATCTCCAGGTCAACTACGTCTCTCTAGATCCTGTGCCTCTACATTACCCTTTTCATTTGATTAGCATGTGATATAAATGGATTTATCATTGCTCCCTTACATCACTTGTCAGTGACATACCACATATGTGGAAAGAAACATACTCATGTCTTAGGCAACTGGTGAGCAACCAGTATGATTCAGACCCCAGACTCCTGTTCTGATGGTGCTGAATGACTATTTTGTGTGGTCACTGGAGTGGTGGTTTTGAGACTATCCTGACAGGTCTGAAGCTCTGTCTCACTAATGGATAGAGGAGGATTCTCATTATCTTGTGACTGGTCTGCAGTGAACACAAAAACCACTGGATGTGTGAATAAATGAGGGAAACACCCAGATACTTTTTTTGAAGGCGTCTAAAAGCTCACACATTCAGCTCCCAATATTGGAATGACATCTGCCATTTCTCAGCTGGTGGTGTGGTTTCTTTAAAATTTGGTCCTGACCTGTGTTTTTATTTGAAGAACAATTAAACTTTATGCACAAATAGAAAGCAGATCCTACATTAGAGAATCTCAATTAGATTTCTAAGCAGGCTAGAAAGTACATAAACACCTTTAGTGTAGATTGCTTTGCTTACATCATAATTTTGTTCCCTGTCTCAGCAGGACAGGGAAATATGTGATGGACCTTCAACCAGACACATCCTAGGAAAAAAAAAAAAAAAAAAAAAAAGAGACGTTTGAAATCCTACCTTAAATAAATCCAATCCCATATCTTGGTCCCATGTGAAGAGCAGCGGCTGTGAAATAGTCCGGAGACATCAGCGTTCAAACCCCTCTGAAATAAATGCAGGCAGCTCACCTCACACTGACAGGTTGCTCTCGTGGTTGCACTGGTTTTAAACCAACAGCACTGACTTCAAAACAAGATTTAACCTGATCTACACTTGCATGAGTGATAGATCAAGCCCATTCTTGGTTCAACAGCTTGGGCAGTTCAGATTTGGTGCAGCTTAGAAATTTAGCACCATCAGTAGGAAATTTTTATTTGAAAAGGGAAGATTAAAGCCTGCCGGAGCTGATGAGGATACTGGGAAAAGCACGCAGAGTGAGGCAATACCTAAAAAGCCAACTGCTACATTTCAGGTATTCTGCAGCTGCCAGTGTGCTTTCCCCTAGACCAAGAGGACAGAAACTAGCTAAAGAGAGAGAACAACATAAAGAGGCAGAAGAAGTGGATGAGGGAACCACCTTGACAAGTTCAATAAACTCAGGAAATTAAGGCTTTCTAAAAGATGAGGTGAGTAAAGGTACAGGAAGGGGCAAACAATTCAGATACTCTGTCAAACAGACAGCTCTTGAGTCTTCCCATAGCATGAAGGTCAATCAAGATTTTATGTAAGATAATAAGATGCTGGAATTGCAGCATGCCAACACAAAGTTAGTGTTTTAATACTTACATTTCCACTGGATTAAAATATGACAACTTGAACAATTTTTATTTATGGAAGGTAGTTCTTCTTCAAAACCTTCTTAAACAATTAGAGAACTACATCTCCAGAGAACACACATGTCTGCCTGAAATGGAGTATATTCTTGGAAATATGTGATCCTTATGCTAGATGTGCTAATTCCCTAATAAGTACTCCATCATTTTTTCTTCTTAAGCTAGCTAAAATAGAGTCTCCAAGTGCTGATCAACTCTAAATCTATTAAAATTGATTTAAATCTGGAAAAACTCCACTGATATTACACTGGTGGAAAAGCCAGTGCCAGACCATAACTAAGCCTCATAGGGAAAAACTGAAAGTCCTGGGAGTTTTATTATTGCACCAGTGGTGCAGGGATTTCTCCCTGAATGTTCCTCAAGCCCAGGGACAGTCAGACTGTACTTTCTCTAATGTGTAAGGGATGGAAGAAATCAGAAGAGAGCATATAATAAATCAACCGAGAGTCTCTGAAAAATAGCTGTCCTGTCTCCTTAATAGGAGAGAGAGTAATGTTCTGAGGGCAGGAGGAATTTGGCTTTAGACAGAAAACATTCCCCTATAGGGGGACAAAAAGTGATCATTCTATAGCTTAATCAATCTCAGGCCTCTCTTTGAGGGAAATAGCGTGTTGCCTGCAACAGTACGTGTAATAATGTTTGCTGAAATATAAACTATGGCTGTATACCCCAAGATGGAAGGTCAGAAGTCAACTAAGGATCTGGCCACAGATGTTCAGCAATAGAGATCAAAATGCAATATATCAAATTCAGTACTTTTCCTTGAGGAACAGGTTGCAGAAATTTCTCAACCCATCTCCTTCACTGTAAGTGCACTCATCCTGCATGTAACAAGGCTGTACATCACAAATTACCACGTTACTCAAATGCAAAGTTCACGCTTCCTAATTTCTTGGTTGTCTGCTTGAGTATTTTAATATTTATACAGTGAGTTTGCTCTTATCCACAAACACAGCTCCCTTGAACCTCTGCAATGTTTTTCCAGTCTGTCTACCAAAGTGAAGAATCATATGACACCATTTAGTCCTCCCTCAGACCTTGATATATGTTTCCTAAAGCCGACATTTGATATTATGGAATGTGTTGTAATCAATTCTTAAAGTTATAGCACCACTGGATTTTTATTAACTTGCACAACAACAACAACAACAACAACAAAAATCCAATTAAAAAATGGCCCCTCATAACCAATCAGCCTTGTTATATCCTGAAAGCTGCTTTAACAAGCAGGGAGTAATATAGTGTAATTGGTACTCCACAATTTAATTGTCCTGTTCTTAAATCTAATATTGCAGCTGTGGGTTAAGTTTACACCACAGCTTTCAAGAGAACATGAAAGTGTGGTACATCTGTGCAACAGAAAGCTAAACATCTCTCATCTGATGTGTTTACAATGACATTTGATAGCGTGGACTGGTTTGGAGTTCATTCTTAAAGCCGTAGGACCGCTTTTTAATGCTGAAAAAAAGGGAAAAAGCCTCCAATCTCTTTCAAACAACTCAGCCCACATAAGCCTGATGATAATGCTGCTGCAAGCATTGCAGGGAAGCTGCTGGCTGTAACAATTCCTTCAAGTATTTTTGAGCATTTGTCACTCAGGCTGTGGAAAAGGGGACAAGGACATCTTCCCCCTCAGATGACATAATCAATTGTTTGAAAAATAAACCACTCAAAAAAGTTTGAAACTAGACAAGTAAAACAATCCCTGACATACATAAAACAGACAAGAATATTTCAAGAAATGTTATTAAGTGGATGACCTTAGCACATTTAGAAATGGCGGAGTTTTCAATTTAACAGGTGGCAGAACTGCTTATGGTATCTTGAACTTCACATTCTGTATAACTAACAGCTTCAGCATTATGTACTTGTTAGTGAATTTATTAAGCCCATAAGTAGTTCAAGAAACTCAGGAATGGGCCTATAAATGTCATCTGCAGTTTGTGAACTGCAAGTATCTGGCTGTTTTGATCAAGGTTTTTACGGGAAAGTTAAATGGTTATTAAAATTATTTACTACTGCTACATGAAAAAGGACCAAGCTTGCTGAAGAGCTTACATTGTGACAAGATGTGAAAGGCTGTGGGTCAAATGTATTGGCAGAAAAGCATTTCTGTTTATGTCTGAGCCCAAATTTTTGTATATTATGAAGCTCATAGTGTCCAAGAAAGGGTCTGTGGAGGGGAGGAGACATTTTCGCTTTCCCATAATGTGCTGTCAGAAATATATGGTCTGATCAGGCTACTTTTCTTGTTCTCAGCATTAGTCTTTTTCTAACATTTTTTGTTGTTGGAGATAAGCATGATAGGGCAACTTAGTTAATGAGGTCACTTTCTTCTCGTTCTTCTGTAGCAGTCCACACCGATGTCCTGCTTTATGCTCTTTAACAGATCAAAGCCAATCTCACTGGTGAAGCTCAGCTATATTACCATACTATACTAGAATCCATTTAGTTTTTAAAATTTATTATTTCAGTCACAATTAAGACGATCTGAGGCCTCTTCATAAAAAGGGGCCATAACAAAAGCTGTATGTTAGCAACTCGATCAATGGATGCATTCATTCTGCATCAAAAATACCGTAAGAAGGACAGATCTCCTGGGCAGGCAAATCTGTATCAATATTTCAGTCTCTTGAATACAGAAATTTTATACAATAAAATGCAACACCCAAGCTTCCCCTCCTTTCAATTAACTGAGAAACAAAAATTGTCCTTAGAAGGGAAGAAATGCATTTGTATTTTTCAGTTTTCGGGTTTTCCCCCTTTCATAGCGTTATAATGTTCTCTTCGTGGGTGGAAAACTTAATCTTCAAGTTCAAGCCTAGTTTCTTCATACAGTTCGGGATGAGATGACTTGGAATACCGGGAATATTTCAGTTGTAGAAAATCACCCAATTCATCCAGAGCACTCAAAACCTGTAAGACCATCATACTGTGTCAATTCTCTTGGAAAAGAAATTAAGTTCTAGTAACCTCTACTTTAAAGCAGAACAAGATCATAAAAGCATCAATTAAAGAAAGTTTAAAGGGCAAATGGAACAAATTGCTTTTGTTCTCCTGTATTGAACAACAATGCAGTTGTAGATGTACAATAGCATCTACAAGAACAGAATTTACTCCTTCAGTAGGTTATGGTTTATTAGTAAGCACATTAATTGACCACAGATGACAAAAAAAAACCTTTTTTCCAAAAGCACAGGGAGATAATAATCCAGATTAAAAGTTATCTTTGCTTGTGCAAAAGGGATGTGTAAGGCAATGCTTCAGTATTTCCCTATAGATCCCAAAGACTGGAGTTGCCACTGTGTTTTCCTAGATGGGACTCAGCCCACCATGCTGATCAGAGTCATCATAAGTAGTCTGAATAGTTTAAGGTTTTTTTAGTGCATTCCATTATCTTCTTTCATTAATATCACAGGCATAATTAATAATGCATTAATATTGTAATGTAATTTGCAGAGCTGTGACCCCAGCTCTCGGTAGATTCAAAAAGTATCCAGGGAACCCTATACTGCAGAGAAGCAGCGCAGTGTTTTGCAGCATCTGAGCCATGTTCAAGAGCAGCCAACCTTTTGGTGTCAAAGAAGAAAACAGCAATTTTGATTTTGAGCCTGTTTCTGTTAAGCTACTAAAATGAGCTCAAGAACAAAAAAAGAAGTAATTTAGTAATGGTTAATGCAGAGAGATAGCTTCAAGGTCATTAAGCAAGTTATTCTTGGGAGCTTGCCCTTTCATGGATCTTTCCTCTTTTTAGTTCCAGACTGAGATTCAAAGCAAATTTTGCCAAAGGGAAAAGTTTTCATTGTGCTTGTTACCTGTTTTTACCCTGGGTTTAGGCATATTCACAAAGTGTTTGTCCTAAAAACTTTCCACCTGCAAGTAATTAAACTCAGGGCATTTCCATTCCCCCATACTGTAAGGACATTTAAAGAACGCCACAAGCACTGTGGTGGTGATCCCACTTTCAAAAGCAAAAATACAGCATGTTTAAGAACAATGGCTGGGGAGCGGTTGCAGACCTTCACTGGTACCAGGAGGCAGCTATGTGCAGGCAGCAGAAAGTGAACATGCAGTGATGGCCCAAAAATGTCATAGGCTTGACGTTTGGGGGTTGGGGAAGAAGAAGAAAATCAAAGCAAGTAACCTCAAGAGATTAATCTTCAGATCAACTTCATCGTCTATTGCTAGTTACATAATCCAAAATCTACACAAACAGCAAAAGTTGTCAATGACCAACACAAGGACATAGTTATGCCCTGTTCTATATTGTCTTTATGGTATTAGACCTTGTTAATAACTACTGCACCTTTAAGAGCAGTAGGAATCTACACTGCACACATGCAAGGCAGATTTTTTGATGTCTGAGAAGGGTCTACACTGGTGTGGGAGCTGGCCTCAAGCTCCACAAAAATCTCAGGATGCAAACAGAAAGCCATGGGCTCTCTGCTGGCACAGGTGCTTGTCTGTATAAAGGAGAGGCATCTTTAACTCAAATGCCTTCCATGTTCACAGGTTTTTTGCTTTGACCATCATACTTGTGCAAAGAGAAGAAAAAGAAAGCCTGAAATTTACTGTTAAGCCTTCATGTTTCATGCCTCTAAATCAGCTTATTCTGAGAATGAAGGAACGTATATCACACCACGCCAAAACCACCTTCGGCAAGAAAGGAAGATGGAAAATTTCAGAGAGTTTATTTTAAACACATTTCTGACTGCATTGGAATGGAGGTTTATGGTGGAACTCTCAACATACTCTTAACAGTATTTCTGATATCAGAGAAAGATAGAGAACTGAAACAGGCCAGACAGCACCAATTAAACTTCATTAGGTTCAAACAGTTCCAAATATTCCACCTGTACCCCCAAGGCTGTCCCATATACTTCTGAAATTCGAGAAACATGTGGAAATATGGAATGAAAATAAGGGTATGGAAAACTTGATTTTAAATTATTTATATATTGTTTTAGGTTTCCTACTCTGATAGTTTTGACCTAGCATTTAACTTTTGTCTTGCTGTGCTCTTCGTGTAGGTCTTTATTAGTTATGACAGATTTAGTCTCTATTAGAAGTAGAAGAACATAACAAGTTAACTGTCCCATAATTTATTTTAAAAAATAAAATATGTAAGGCTAAAATGCCTCTAAATATCAAGTGACAAGGCCAGAAAAACAAACTCAAAAATGAATTATTGAGATTCAAAGTAACTAACACACAGCTTCTCCCAACCTCTTTTGCATCTGCACTTAATTTCAGCA